TCCAACGTGAAGCCAAATGAGGTGGAAGAAAAGGGACAAAGGGGTTTGATGAATCGCTCTGTGTGTTAACTGAAATGTTGCACAACCGCTGCCTCCAAACGTATTTCTCCAAACTGTCAAACATAATATGTTGTAGCTTTTTGTCGGTGCAAACAAAGCTGCTCATTGAGTGCAGTGTTACAGGAGAATTTCCTCACACAATGAGCTCAAGTTACAGACTAAACACCGACCTCAGCTGTTTGTGAGTTGCAGAAAGCCCTCTCATTCTTATTAGCATGCACCATATGGGAGTATGGTGGTGTAACAATGCAAACACAATGGCTGGATCCACTCGCTGCCGGCGTGCAGGGCAAGGTCAGTGCTAATTACCCTCGTCTAATCATGATTTCCCGGGGATTATCTGACCCTTTGGTATTTTTGATTTCAAAAGGAAAATGCCATCTCAGAAGTAGTTTCCAAATCCGTCCACAAATGTTTAGCTGCGAGCCCATTGAGTGAGAGGGCCTCCAGCTCAGGCCTCCTGCACAATCCAACCACTTTAGTGGCCCCATGCACAGTGCAGGCTCATCCTGGGAAACATGTGACAAAGAAAACACAGACTGGGAGAGAGAGCTGCTCCAAACAGACACAACAACACCTGCTGCCCTCACACACACACCTCTGATATCAGAAAACACACTCATTCATCATTTACAGAGAAGCTCATCCACCTCACTGTATACTTCATTGTGTATTAGAGCTTTTTTTAAGATGCCAAATCATTTGAGTGAGGAGTTTTTGTACATAACTGAAAATAATGATTGTTATGTGCCTTTAAAAACATTTGCTGCTGTAAAAAATAGTGTTTTTCCTTATTATTAACCACAGAATTACTGATAATGACCCATTCATAACTTCCAAACTCTTATCAGAACAACTTCTCCTCAGATTATATGTAGGTGAATATTTCCACATCCCCCCCCTCTCTGTCTGTTTTTATGTCAGAGTTGTTATCGTTCAGCATGTTCCATAATACTTTCATAAATCCTCTGCACTGCTCCAAAATGGTGAAATAATGGGCCTTGTCGGCCACCCGCATTTTACTATGCTGTAAAAATAATGAAAGTCATATTGCGCTGCGGTTTGAAATGTGCGCAGGCGAGCGGCGCAAGTCTGAAGGAGGTCCGGACATGTTTTCTGTATTTCAGACGTTTTCTGGAAAGATGTGCGCAGAGTGTTTCTGGAGCAAAGTCGACACTTACAGGAGGATTTTAATTCTTGGTATAATATATAGATCGAGGAAGATATGCCGACCTGCAAATAAAAAGAGAGTCTCACT